AACGGGAGATGATGAGATTGGTTCGGCCAGGGCAAGGCGGCTGGTTCCGGGTTCTTGGGTGGGCACCGAAACGCTTGCTCTGAGAGAGGGTTTTGGGGGGGTTGGGGATTACAAGGAGGGAAGGGGAGGCTACATGGTGTGGGAGATATGGGTTGAAGATGGATTGAATATAGTGATGCAGGTATGGAAAGGAGTTCATCCAGAAACTCGCATCGCCTGCGCACGGACATACCTCTTGCCGTCCCACGATACGTCTGATGACGACATAGAAGAGATTGAGTCCATGACAATGGAAGCTATTCGACTAGTCCGGTCAGAAGAGTCCTTCCTATGAGTGGTGAAGTGGTGATTTGGATCAGAGATGTTGCTGGGGCTATCGGTAATGGCGAAGGCAGCGCTGCCGGGGTGAAGGTTGATTGGATTGATGCATTCGGATCAACTTCGGAGAGGAGGCCGGAAGGAGCTGAGATTACTTGCGCTTTTATATCGGTAGTTGGCGTTCGAGTAGTGCTGGAGTCCCACTGCCCAGTATGATAGGCAGTCGTCACGAGCAAAGACATAACGGTCGTCTATGGGGATACCTACATGGTAGTAGCGGCCACGTGTGAGGACGGTAGCGTTGTTAGTTCCGAGATGGGGGAGAGGACGTGATCGCCGTCACCACTGACAGGATGTCGCAATTGACGCCTCTATCTTGGAGCTGTTCGAGGTCGCAGATTAGGGAGAAGTGTGCAGTAGAGGATGATGCCGCAAGGTATGGCAAATGCGTGGCGAAGACGACAGTCTCGTCTGCAGGTTCCTATCGGAGCACCGAGGGGTCCGTATGGGTCGCCTCTTGCTCAACATGGCAGGGAAGACTATGAACAATAAAGAGACCTCCAGCGACGAGTCGAGGGCGACGAAGAGTCTTGGAGAACTCGAGTTTGCACCTCCTGACGTCACAAGTCGTTCGAGGATCGGATTATGGTGAAGTGGTAGGGGTATTTATGGCTAGAATGGTCCGTCAGGAAATGCCACGCCTCGAAGAGATCTCTCCTGGCTCGTGTTGGGATCACGTATGGGAAGATGAACATGTAGGGTGGGCGGCGAGCTGATGGTAGAGAGCAAAAGTGAATATTCATGTCGCTGGTGGGCTCACGCTACTCCCAAGGACTTCCATTTTGAATTTGGACAGCAACAGTGCAGAGCTAGTCGAAGATCTTCCCCATATCGTAGATACAGTAACGGGTTCGCATTGAGTGGTGACGGCTCCAGAGTGCTCCTGGTGAAAATTGATAACGACTCGTCTCTGTGTCTAATCGATGGCATTGGAACTGGCGGGTAGGCTTGGGCTAAATTCAGTATGGTGTGGTATACTATCACTGTGAGGGGAGGTGCTATCTGCTTCTGTTAACAAGGAGTTTTGCTCGTGTGGTGGCAGCTTTGTAGTATATCGTTTCCATGTGCTGACATATTTTCTTCCTTGGAGGAGACCTCGTCAATATCAACTTGATTCAATTCTTCACGAGCTGATATGCAATGTGAATCTCCCATACGTGCTTGCCTCGGTTGCCATTGAACAACTCCAGCAGTTGATATAGTTCCTCGTCAGGCCGTGGCTGACCATGTCTATGGAGGGCCAGTATCTCCTCGTGTTTGAGCTTGTACATCCTTCCCTGCAATCCACAGACGAGCCCGACGACTACCTGCCATCACCATCTCGAGTAATGCAGTTGTGGCGAGAGCGTGGTATCAGTATTGGAGTAAAGGATATCGGCGATCTGCCTATCGAGGTGAGTGTAAATGCATCTACCATGCTTCTCCCATCGGGCTCAGGTGGCGAGATTTTTAAGAAGTGGGAAGAGCGGAGAGCAGCCTTTAGTAGAGGCTAATCTATACAGGTGACGCGTCGAACCCCCCCCCCCCCCCGGAGACGGGGGTGCAGCTGTCGTTACTTCAGGCGATTCACGCTGCCCTCGTGCGCTGAGCTCTCGTCCCCTCGAGGAGTTGTGTTTGTTGCCGGCCTACCAGGGTCGGAAGGCTCCACCCAGCGCCTTGCCAAGAGTCTGGCTGGCTACCTCGGGGCTAGCTGCCTGCATTCACCATACCACACACCCGTCACCGAATGTAAGCCAGGTTGGTATTGCTGGGAAGACTCAGACAGTCGACGTAGGCATTGGAACAGCTGATACGAGCCGTGGAGTAGTGGTTTGGACTACCAGCATTGAGGATGTGAGGCC